GTCGCAAGCTCATGTATAAAGACGTACACGCAGAGCGACCATCTGCCACGTGCATCGATATAGCTCATTTTTGACATTTGACAACCCTTCACTCCAGTTTGTCTGAGATGATTCAGGATGCTCCATCTGTTTGTTGGTCTTGTTGTAATGGCCACGTTCAGTCAGAAACACATTTGTCGAATGTTTGTTCAAAGTTGTGTTTTGCTGTTCTGGTGAACTATTATTGTTCTTTTTCTGTTGTTTTATATAGTTCTGTATCCTTTTTTTTCATTTTGTTCTTTTCCTCCATCCCTTCATTGCACATAATGATGCATTATCCTTTTCTGTGAATAATATTGATCGGTACACAGTTTTTAAACAAGGCAGTGATTTTAAAAACTGCTTGTTGTAATCAGGTTATTTGAACAGCCTAAAATATTAACAAGCTTCCTTCTGAAGATAATTTGCTTCACCGTCAAGGAGCTTTCTCAGTTCAAATTGTATCAGGATGATGCTCAGCTACCACYACACCAAAATTTTAGCTCAGTTTCTGTAAAAGTGACCAAGTTAGARCCAGAATGCAATTATTTGGAAATCTCATAAACTTGTATTTTATTCACAATGGAATTGGGTAAACATTAAATGTTCAAACTAAGAAATTATATTTAAAAAATCCTGGTAAATATTTGATAGAATCAACACRTCTAAAACAAGATGGAACAGTGGAGACTCTTGGCTCTCAGCCTCGTGTCAAATCAGACTCAAGCAGTTCCACCATCACCCTTCTCTTTCCTTTGGCAATGARCAATAAAAAATGTGTTTATTTTGTGTCATTTACGTGAACCCCCTGCAGTTACAAAGCACCACTAAAGCTAACGACACATCCAGTCAGGATAAACTGTTGATATTTCTCCACTAACGTGGTCCTAAAATGCAGATTGTCGGCTGAGCTTGACATTCATTTAAATCCTTCAGCGTGTGTGTTGGCAGGCAGGACGCTGTGACACTAGTTCATCTGTACGTCGAGGCTTATTTAGCCTGCTGAGAATGAGAACCCGCTGTTTGTATTAGATCCTGTCTCTGGCAAAGTGGAGATGATTAGATAAAGTGTGTCTGGTGGAGTGGAGCACTTTTTCACTTTACAGACGCAGAGCCTGCGAATAAAAAGGGAGAGAGGGACTCTGCTTTCTGATAATACCACAGAAATGCCTTTTCAGGGCATTTTTAATGCATCTCAGACACATATCAGGTTAATATACTGCACTGTATATGTACTGCACTCAGAAATGATGCTTTCTTGTTTGCACTGATTACATTCATGCAGCGAAATGTTCACATTTAATTATCCACATTTCAGCATCTTCTGCGTTGCTAAAATTCTAATTCAATGGGCAAGTTCTAGATAAGGCAAAGAGAGAGAAAGAAAAAAAATACGGCGTCACAGCGTTCATTTCCAATCCCTTCTCTGCTATAGTGTCCCCTCCGTCTGCACTTCATTTTGTCATAACACAATAACTGAGCTCCGACATCTTAAAAGGTATTGCAGGAGCATGGAGGTGCTTGGAGGGAAAATTGCAGCAGCTCACAGCTGCTGGAGTGAAATATCATTTTGTCTCACTCAAGATGGATTCCACAGTGAGATTTTCAGAGGACCAGTACAGATTCAAAATGGAGAAGCCAGAAGGGAGGAGGAAAGGGGGGTTGGGG